GCGGGCCCGGTCCGGTCCGGTTCAGGCCCGGCCCACCGAGTAGCATTAACTATGACCAAGAACAAGAAGATACAAAATGGACAAACACCCGGTCATTCCAAATTTGGGACAAAAACATACGAAAATTTATTACATTATGTTTATCCTGGATCAGTATTGATGCATCCAATGATCCAAAGCTCGTACAGTGAAGTGTATGTGTAACACTTTTTTTCGCCTTACGTATAAACTAATAATATCAAAAGTCTAATGAGTTTACTTTTAAAACATCGAAGATTAAGTTTAAGCCCATCAAGCTTAAATCTTAGATCCGCTACTGCCTGCGGGAAAACATGTCGATTAAGGCGAACCATTGTGTGACTGAGAATTGATAGGAGAAGAGCAGCATCTGCAACAAGATCCTGGTGGTGGAGGTTGGCAACACACACAAGCAGGACATATAGGTCTCCTCACAAGTACTTCTGCATATTTGAATCCGATAATTGAACAAAAAAACAGCCAAAAGAAACAGAGTACAATGTTTATTGATGTATATGTATCATTTAATTACCTCTGTACACATTGGAACGAGCAGCAACGCCTTCTTGGATTCCAGGAGTTAAAATTAAACCTATGAAAACAAGGAACATGACTATAATAGATCTGGGAATTATGGTTGCCATGGTGTAATGAGAAGAATAGCTAGAAATTAGCCTTTAATTAGATGAATTAATGAACAAGTAGTAGTAGTTATTTATACTGCAAAACTAGCAAAAGGAAAATTGACCAACCGTGTGTTCTCACTAACCAAGCTCAAGGTTGACTTGACTATTCAGTGGCGGAGCCACATTCGACCAAGGGTGTCAATCGACACCCTTTTACCGGAAAATTACATAGTACTGTTAGATAAAAAAAATTTGTCCCACGTCTTTTCTGTCCCTTTATGTAATATGGTGCTTATGCTTTCCTGAACCGAGTGTCTAATGGAAACAACTTCTCTATCCTTACAAGGTAGGGGTAAGATCTGCGTACATACTACCCTCCCCAGACCCCACAGTGTGGGATAATATTGAGTATGTTGTTGTTGTTGTTGTTAGATAAATTTTATTGTTTTGTTTATATTTAGTATACATTTACTCCCCTAAACTTTTTCGGTGTATCTATATTTTTATATTTTAATATTCCTTGGTGAATTCTGGCTCTGCCACCATTGACTAATTACAAGTTAACTATATTGGGGAATCTGTTCGACTTAATTTGATTTGCTATAAGTAATGCAATTGGAGACTATGTTAACTTATCTTTAAAAAAATGAAATGATTGAAAAGTCAACAATTTGAATGCAAAATAACAAAATGCGTTCTTTTTAGACTTTTGTAGTGTTGTCAAACTTGCCAGTTATTTCTGCTATCTCTTGGTCTTGCGAAACATAAAGTACATTAACTAGACTGCTAAGCAATCTTATTAAAGTTATAGTCAGTTGAATTCAAACTCTCTTACTCATCTTTAGAAAAACAATTAAATAGATTATAGTATTGCTTAGCAACTGTTTATAAATAAAAAATATTTTGTCATACACGTCTGATTCTTTTCTAAGATTTTGCTTGATTTAGACAGATTAGGATTTTTAGCAAGAAAACTTGTCAAATACACCGAATACGTCTAGTTTGTTTGGGCGCTCTTTGAACAGTATTCTGATTTATAGCCCGTTTGGCCAAGCTGTAAAAATTAGCTTATTTTGAGAAGTACTTTTTTCAAAAGTATTTTTCTCAAAAGTACTTTTGGTGAGAAGCAGTTTGTGTTTGGTTAATTAGTTTGAAAAGCACTTCTGAACCAATGTTTTAAAAGGCGAGGCGTTTTACCTCTGACAAGGCGAGGCGTAAGCCCTGAGACATGGGGCGTAAGTCCAACGGATCTTTAAATTTTACTAATTTCAAGAATTTTAAGAAAGTATAAAATAAAAAATAATTATAAAAATTACATTAAAATCACAAAATTATAACAAATAATCTATTTAAAATATTTATAAATTATAACTCAACTATGAATTATGCGAAAAGTATGACATATATCATAATATGCAAATTAGTTGCAACGTCATTACAACTCAAACATCAAAAGTAATGTATTCGATACGAAATCATATATGTATCTCTTAAGGACGATATTATAATTTTATATTTTTCTTAAAATACTCCTTTTATTTAATATGCTTTCTATTTGAAAGAGAATTTATATAAAAACATAATTCACAATTTAAATATGATTCTCTAGCATCAATTATTTTTAAGTTTCAACAAGTTAATAAAGTGACACATAATTCACCATATAATACCATGATAACTAATTATTTGTAAATAGTTACTAGCTAATACTGAGCTATTAAATTAATAAGTATTGTATCTCGTAAACATGATAAAAATAATTATAAAAAAATTATGGACCATATTATATAGTAAAGACGTAACAAAGGTTAATAAGTAAATACTTTTTAAAATGAAGGATTTATTTAAAATTAACTATCATAGCAGTCTTAGTGGATAGTGTGTAATAATTTTTATTTTAATTATGACATAAAATACTCTCAACTTAATGATTTATAATTAAGAAAAAAGTAATTTTGAATAGTCAACGATATTAAGAAAATTTGAGGATTTACAAGGTTACTTACATACAATTGCATAGAGTTCTATTAGGCGAGCCCAGTACGCTTGGCGTTGGGCGTGTCCGGGGCATAAGCCCCGATGGCCGATGTCACACCTCCTTTTTTCCTACACCCCGGAAAGAGTATAAGGGATTTTTTTCCAACTTAAAGTGACAATCGAAACGGGATTCATTTATTATTAAAAA